TTCTCTGGCCTGGGCTAGAGACATAGGCTGTAGGGCCAGGGATATAGTTCAGTGGCACAAGCACCTGCCTGGCAAGTGCAAGGTCCTGAGTTCGATTCCAGGTACCAAAAAAAAAAAAAAAAAAAAGACACAGGCTGTAGCCTCAGAAGGGAAATTTTATTAATAAATAAAAAAGAATCCTATGTATTTTTCTTGCACGGTCCATGTCTCTTGGATAGAGTCAACCCAGGGCAGAGGTGGAGGTACTGCTGGACCAGGTCTGCTTAGAGCTGCCCAGGGCTGACAAGACTGTGGCCGGGAATGGAGGCCACAGACAGTGCAGGCTGCATGGAGAGCAGTTTCCTCCAGGGAGCGGCATCTTTAGGTCTCAGAGTGGGGCCAATAGTGAGGGTCTGTGCTGGGGGGCAGCAAGCACCCCAGCTGAGCACATTCCTCAGCCCACAGCTTTGTTCGCACCCAGGGTCACTCTACCCACTCTACCAGTGAGCTCCTGCTCTGCAGGGCCAGTGTCCAGCCTCTACAGCGAGGATGAACACTCTTCGGGCAGGGACGGTGTGACAGAGGCTCACAGAGGTCTTCAGGCAGGAAACATCTGTCCAACCCAAAGGAGCTCAGAAAGGGGACAGCAAAGGCCCCCAAGGTGGCTGTTGCCAAGGTCTCTGGTGCCATCCTATGGCAGGTCTCAGAGTTCTGGTCTGAGGACCTGAGGAGCTTTGCTTGTGAGAGTTTTACCTGTCACTATTTACTCATTAGAAACTAAGACAGAAATTTAAAAATGTTTATTGATTCTTTAAAAAATAAACCCGTCATGTCAGCATAAAGAACAGGCGTGCTATCCCATCACAGAGCCTCTGGAAAATGCTACCCTGTACTGTGAGGTGGAGTGACGGAGGCCAACACTGCCTAAGTGTGGCCACAACTCTCCATGATCCCATCAGCACACACAGTCTCAGGATGGAGCGCAGGGCAGATGGAGGCCTCTGAGTCCATCTCTGGGCCCACCGGCCTCTCCCTGAGGTGCAGCCCCTGCAGAGGTGCTGGGGTGAACTCTGCGGTTCTGAGGTCTGTGGGAATCATCTGGCCTACGGGGCCTGGCCTGAGTGGGCTCTGCAGCATGGAGCATGATGGATGAGCAGCCTGTCTGGCTGCTACTAGCTTCCATGTGCCCAGCTTTGGGCTCTTCGTGGGAGGGCACAGCTGGGTGTCATCTGGGATGGGGCCCCATGGGGACCACTTAGGCCCTGCACCCAGAGAGGGAGGATGCTGGAGCAGATCTGGCTGATCACAGCCCGGATGTGAGGAGTGGCTGAGGACATCACAGGGATGGGTGGGCATGAACTCTCCCAGGCCTCCTACCTCAGCTGGTGGTGTCATGAAGCCAGTAAGAGGGAGACGGGAGGGAGGAGCCAGGCTGTGCAGCCTTGCACCAAACAGGTGTATGCAGGCACGTGCAGCCCTGGGTGCATTTGCAGAGGATAGCTTCATGAAGAAACCCACTGTCCTGTGTGGAGGATCACCTAGGCGACTCTCCTTAAAAGAGGAGCAATTGCCTCTGTTTTGGCTGAGCCTGACCTTATTTCCATGTATTGATATGTACAGAGCTGTCTCGGACTTTTCCTTACCACTTCAATTGGCTTTAAGCAATGCATATCGGTCTAGCTGAGGTGCTGATGGTAATCTTTGGAGATGGCAGGTATGTTTCCCTGAGCCCCTGTTGCTCCCTTGAGTGAGCCAGGATGAGGCAAGATGTGTGCGAGCCAATGCTCCATGCTGTCGGCTGGGATCAAGCCTGGGAATAGAGGCTATGACTTCTTGGGGTTTCAAAGATTACACATCAGAGCTGAAGCACCAACCCCAAAACCCCAAAACATAAGCTATCTCAATTGTGTTATGCAGTTTACTCTTTCTGCATACGCTTTTCTCTGCATTTGCTGAGGTGATTTCAGGCCTCCAACCTAGCCCAGCTCATGGCACTCACATATTTCCCGCCACTCTCACAGTCACTCATCCTCAAGCCACTCCCTTCTTCATGAATGAATAAATTTGGGTTCGTTCCTGGGTATAGCCATTTGTTCCAGATGGCTATCATTGTGGCTGGACTTAGGACCTCTTGGCTCCCCATAAATATAAATATGCCTTAGTATCTTTTTCTCACCATGGGTTACACTGGAAGTGGTAGACTGGAATTAACTCGCTAGAATTCCAGTAACTTTTCATGGGACTACATATACAAACTTCCTGGGCTGCAAGGAGGACCGGGAAGGGCTCCGTACAGTCCTGAATCTAGAGACCTGGCTGGAGGGAGATTCTAAGGAAGAGAACTTCCTGGGGCATCCTGCCCAAACGGATCTAGGGCTGAACTGAGCTCACACAGGTCTCAACGTGACACCAAAATAAATCACATGGGCTTTGTCCAGATTAAAACCTTTTGTGCACAGATGCTTCACCACTGCAAAGGTGAAGATATCCCAGTGAAAGCAGAAAACACACTAACCCCACATCTGCAAGGGCGTGGCTTCCAGAGCACACAGCACACAAGTCTGAGATGATGTACCTGCACATCTGTCCCCAGCCCCCTCAGCAGCACTCACCTGGGCAGTGTCCTGCGAGTACTTCTTACACAGGCTGTCTATGCCCATGAAGAATGCCTGGATGCTTGAGTCAGTCTGAAAGAAAAGCCAAGGGCTCAGTGTTTATTGCTTAAAGCTTCTGGCTACTGCTTAAAAAGCCGCATGTCAAGGTCTAGAATTTCCAGAGATGGCACAAACCACAAATGCTTCACCTCGGAAGGGCAGGACTAAGGGCCACAAGACAGTGGGCCACATCCTTCTGTACCCAGGGAAAGCCAGGAGGTCCTGGGTTCAATGCCCTATACCATAAAAAATTCTAACTCATGTCATTAATGAAGTCATAATAACTGACTTACCCAAACTTGAAAAGAGCATTACATTAAGGGAAAATTACAGGTCCAACTCACACATGAACAACAACAACAAAAAATCAAGCCAAACAGTAGTAACCTGAGCTCATCTATATATACAAGCTGTGCCACATCATCCTACTGCATTTATTTCTGGAATCTAATGGGGTTTTACAGTTTAAAAAATAAATACAATTCACCACATTAACAAAATGAGGTTAAAAAAGGAAAGATGCTAATTACAGAAAAAGCAAAAGCAAAAGCTCTACACCACTTAAATAATAATAAAAAAAGCACTTAGCAGAAAACTTAGCGCACATAAAATACACTATTTGGTGATGAAGCAGAAAAGGCTGACTGTGAAAGCAGGAGGGATGGGAAGCTCCTGCACCAGTCCTGCTCTGCATTGGCTGGAGGGCTGGCTAGTGACTGCTGGGTGTGAATGCCAATGCGAAAATCCTAGAAGAACCTTCACATAAACCAAGAGATTATCAAGTTAATTTGGCAAGATCTCTAGTATAGGTCAATAAAACCAACTACATTTTAGCGCTTTTAGCAGTAAGCACTGAGAAAATGAAATTTTTAAAAACTATAGCAGACTTTTAAATCATCAAAGCCTAGGAACCATCACCATCACTGATGGGGACAACTTCGAAGCAGCCCTGAGCAGGACTTAAATTAACCAATTGGCTTTCCATGTTTACTTGTGAGTCCGTCCAAGGCGTAGGCTCCTTGTCTAGAGATGGGCAGTAGACTCACAGTAAGTGAACCCCTGTGAGTCTGATCCCTACTGAGGCCTGTAATGGTGGGTGAAGCTGTGAAGCTTCAAAGGATAAGACAAGGTCACAGCTAAGGATACCTGGATCCAATCTCAACTAGATAACGACTGTAGCCTCAGGCATCTCACTCCTGGGTGAATTAATACTTTACTTGGAGAAGTCCTTCAGTGGTTTCCGATCTTCTCAAGTATTACCCTCCCTTCTTCTGATACTAAATAAATAAATAAATAAATAAATAAATACTAAATAAATGTGAGCTACCCAGAGAAGGTCTTGGTCTTAGCCCTAAGAGAATCTCAAATTCTGTGAGAGGGCTCTGATCTTCCTGCGGGCCTGAAATCATTCCATTTGCCTCTTTTATTTAGCCTTCACTGTACACTCATTTAGGAGATTGTGGACCTGATCAGTCCACAATAACTAGGAGATAATATTAACCTGATACATCACCATGGTGCTGAGAAATCCATCAGCTATTACTGCAAGAAATTAGAGAACTTCTAGGTAAACAACACAACTGCCCTACTCATGGATTAGAAGGGTCAATATTATAGATACCAATTTCCCCCACATCATTTTATTAATTAGGTACAAAATTAAAACCCCATCAGGATTCTGTGTGAGTGGAAATTGACAAGTTGATTCCAAAACTTGTATGGGGCATATGAGGACTAACGTAGGCCAATAGGCACATCAGATAACCCCTACTGCAGTGGCTCATTGTGGGCAATACCTGACCCTCGCCTGTGCGATAGTTGAAGCCTGTACTCAGTGGATTCCAGGGACCCAGGCCTCTGCAGGCAGCCGGGGATGTCCAGGAGATTGCTTTTGAGGGTTGGGCCTGTAAGTAGCCTTTTTTTCTCCCCCTGGACTCATCATGCTGGAGGAGAGGAACAGGAGAGGAACAGGTCTGAGGATAATCACGTGTGGGTCTTTCTGATTGTTGGCATATGCTTTCCTCTTGCCAATACAGATCCCCACTGGTATACCCGGAATGCCACTGCCACTATGTGCACAGCACAGCTCACATCCCCGGATGATTTGCTGACTCTTCCTTAGGTCCCGGTTTGGGACCACTTTTTTGTTGCTGGGACAGAATAGCTGAAATAAACAACTTAAGGTAGGAAAGATGTATTTTGGCTCAGTCTCAGTTCATGCTCCTTGTGTCTGCTAAAACAGAAACACCGTGATGGAAGGGCATGGTGGAAGAAAGCCACTCACCTCATGGCAGCCAGGAGCAGCAAAAGAGAGTCAGAGAGGAAACAGCTAGGACAAGATGCACTCTCAACAACCTACCTCATCTAATGAGGCTCCTGCCCAGTAAGCCAACTAACTATGAACTCATCGATGTATTAACGCATGGATGAAGTCAGGGTCCTAGCTCGAACACTGCTATATTGTAAATCAAAACCTCAGTGAACAAGTCTTTGGGGTAGCCTCCACATCTAAACCATAACGCTGTGCAACCCATAACTAGAAAGACACGACCCCTGGGTCCTGGCCATTTCCAAAAACCAAAGAAGGCCTGGGGCTGGACAAGTAAAGAAATCCCCAGTAATACAGAGGGGACACAGTATCTAGAGTAGGCCCCAGAGCTCCTCCCCTGGAGGGGTCGTGGTGCAGGGCAATCCCTCTGCCTTCTGGGGCATGCCCACCTGTGCATCTCCAAAACCTGGCTGACTCACTGGGGGTTATCCCGGGGGAAAGGGTATGAGGAGTGTGTTGGTTTCTGTCTAGCTGTCCCCTAAGAGCCTCATGTAGTCATAGGCAAGGCTTTGGACAGGGATTGGATTTTGGCTTATGGCTGACTTGCTGTTAGGAGGTCGGGCCTGATTGGAAGAGGCGGGTCACAGAGGGTGTGTCCTGAGATTTATCTTCTTTCCCTGCTCCTTCCTTTACTCTTCGCTTCCTGTCTCCTCTGAGATGCTCCTCTGCTATGTCATCCTGCCTTGGAGCCATCCAACAATGGATTGAAACTTCTACAGACTGTGTGCCAAAAAAATTCTCTCCTCTTCAAGTTGTGAGTGTCAGGTTTTGTATCTCAAGAACAAAAAACTGACTAGGACAAGGAGTGCATCCACCTAGGCTGCTGGGGCCTTTATCACTCTAGACATAATTCTTACCACTTGAGTCAAAAGCAACTGGCTTCTCCAGTCCCATGGGGTCTTAATTCCCTTCCACCTCTGGTGGACACTGGCCAGGCCTTGCCTGAATGCATTCTTTCTCATGGCTCCTCAGGAGGTGGACCACATCTCTGCCCTAGGCTCTCTAAAGCCTTTCCTCCTGGAGCCCCAGGCCCATCTTGTTCTGCAGGCACCAGCTTCCATCTCTTGCTTCCCATACAGGCTCAGTGCAGTGGTACTCTGTTTCCTGCATGTGGCCATAATGTCCATTTCCATGACAAACTGATGAATGTACGTTGTTCTATATATGGGCAAACAAAGTCAGGGGTACCTTTTGTACAGTGATGTGTGTCATGCTGCTGGCCAGGTGAAATCATCTAACAACACAATTTTTAAAGAAACAGATCACAGGAGAAACCATCAGAAGATGCTACACTTAATGGAGACAAACACTATCTTGTGACATTTACTTCACAGGGCAGATCCTGTGCTGCACAAGTCTTTCCTGCTTCAGGTCATAGTCACAGACACAGCTGTTACACAGCACAGAGGAGACAATCTCCAAGAAGATGACTCTTAACAGAGACCTGAAGGCTGTGGGAGATGGAGCAATGCTGAATGTTTTAGTCAGAGGCAGCAAAAGGCCAGGCACCGGGTGATAGCCCCAGGATCCACAGCAGAAAGTTGGACAACTGGATTGGGGACCAGGAGGGTACAGAGGCCATGCCACAGAGCCATGAACTTGAGGGGCCCTGGCTTTCTTCCTGAGGTGGAACTCATGGAGGCCTGGATCTGACCTGTACCCAGGCAGAGCCCACTAGCTGCAAGCTGCACAGCAAGAAGGCTCACAGCTCCTGTGGGGATGGAAAGATGGATGGGGAGATGTGGACTCTGAGGAGGCTGTTGGAGGAGGACCCAGGTGATGGTACAGAATAGGGGTACAGAGCAAGAAGTAGCTACACCTCGATGTTCCAACAGATTCCCTCACTTACTCATAGAGAACAAAAGAAGACATTCTTTCCAAACCTCTGTAGAACATTAGCAGTGACGACATACAAACCACAATGAAAATCTGGCTCACTAAAAAAGACACCATGCAGTCATAATCTCCACTCACAATGCCATAAAACTAAAAATTAACTGTGAAAATGGCAGTAGAGCTAAAATCTAACACAGGCACATCCAACCTGTGGTCTGCATGGGACCCTGGACAGCTACTAATCATCTCCACAGGACTGTACACTTTTAACATTATTATGTAGTTTTTACTGCTATTTTTCACAACTGATTTCAGTACTGAGGTGTGGACTGCACAGATGACAACAGACTGTAGTGCAGGCAGGCCACAGGGCAGTGCTGGCTCTGTGCCTACCACACACAGGCACTCACACGGAACCATGTGTAGTAGACGTTACATGGCAAGTAAAACACAGCAACTGCCAATAACAGTGTTCAATCTACCTACACATAGGTGTGCCTGTTAACACAAGTGTTCTGTTAATAATTGGATATGTAAATTTTCATATTCTTTAAAACTGAGCTTGTTGTGTTATTTCACAAGATAATAAATTGCAATACTTTTTTAGCAGCAGGGATAGAAGAAGTACAAAATGTATCAAATAGTGTTATGGTTTTATTTAAGTGTCCCCCCAAAGCCTCATGTACTCATAGGTAGGGCTTTTTGGAGGTGGCTGAATCTAGGGTACATGATACTGGGATTAAAGAGGTGTATTACTGGTTTAGTCCACTAACTGGTTTATCATAGTTCTGGGTATGGATAATGAGAAGATCCACCCTGGATGTGGGTGGCACCACCCAAAAGGCTTGTAGCCTAGATGAGATAAAAGGAAAAGGGAAACTTGCTTCCTGCCTGCGCTATCATGGATTGTCTCTCCTCTGCAATGCCTCTCTGCCATGCCACCCTACCTGGGAGCCAGGTGATTACAGACTGAAACCTCTACAAACTGTGAGATATAATAAACCTCTCCTCCTTTCAGTTGTGAATGTCTGGTATTTTGCGTCAGCCAAGAGAAAAATAACTAAGATAAACAGATTTTTTGCTCTTGATATTGTTACAATTACATATACAACACTGCTAAAGCTAGAAAAATTAATGGTTGTTTATTTATTAATATTTGGATATAAATCAATGCAGTCAGACATTAAAGTCAAAGAAAAATCTGATCATACCTCTTCACTAGACTTTTGTAAGACCTACCTTTCCCGGGGAAAATATTCCTTACTTCACAATTACACCTTACCCATGCCATTGCTTTTTGACACTACATATGCTTGTGAACAACTATTTTCAAAGACAAAGAATACAAAGAGTAAATCTGATTAAAAATTTCTGATGAGCACTGTGGGAACTTACTGAGAATTTCAACAACCTTCATTGAATCAGACACAAATGCATGAGTTTTCAAAAAGAAAAAAGGTCAAACATTCCACTAGTTTTATGCTTATCTTACCCTCTTGTAAAAATGTTATAATAAAAATATTGTTAAAAGGAAGTTCTGCTACTTACATTCATTAACTATGTTATATATTTTATATGTAGCCCAAGACAATTCCTTTTGGTCCAGACAAACAAAAGGTTGGACACTCATGATCTAATCATTTACAAATTAAGGAGTGTTCTTTCAAATAATTCTTAAGTTAGAAAGGAAATAAAACAAACAGCTTAGAGATTGTTTAGAAATGATTCCGAAAAGCAGTACTCAAAGTGACTTAGAAACACAATGTACAAATGGTAATGGATAGTCTCAGCTATGCTTATTAGGGAAGAAGGAAGAAAACAATTGGCCTGAACATTCACCCATGAAGACAGAGAAAAGACCAGGTACCCTCCAGCTTTGGTTGGAGCCTGGGTGCTGCATAGCAGTGCACAGCAGAGACAGGAGTTTCCTGGGACTTCATGCTGCCACACGCTGGAGGAAAACAGGTCTTTCTATTAAAGATACAAACATTTAAATATTTTGCTCTTGCCTTTTCACTTTTAGGAATTTATGCAATAAAAATACTCTCACAAGTGTGGAGAGAGAGTATTAAAAAGTGTTCATTGTGGTTTTTTTTGAAACAGTGAAAAGTCAAAAAACCCACAGGATCATCAAAAGGAAAATGCTGAAATACATATTTATGTAGTCATTTTAAAAGCGGGTGCCATCTAGCAAGTGGGAGGCCCTGGGTTAGGTCCTCAGTACCAAAAGATTAAAAAAAAAAAAAAAAAGGTAAAAGCAAGTGCTCCAAACAGTGTCACTTGGGAAACACTTCTATAAAAAGGTAAATCATAAAAACACAGAATAGGCACCAAATTCTTGGATGTTGTCTTTGGAAACAGGATTTGGGCAGTTTCACATTAATTTTCTGTATTGTCTGAACTTCTGTGTTCTGTTTTATATTTGTAATGAAGAAATCATGACATTTTAAGATACTAATTCAAATATACATATTGGAGAGTGAGGTAGAAGAGAACAATCATTTGTAAAATAAGTTCACACCAAAAAACAAATGAAACTACTGTATTTTAGACAGAACCAAAGGCATGGTTTTAAGCCAAAGGCAGTAATACTGTACCTGATTTTAAGCCTCTGTCATTAACAACCAGAAGTCATACACACATATGACTTCAAAAAAAAAAAAAAAAAACTCCACTGCATCCTAAAGAGCTGGTACTGTGCTGAAGAAATCTTTCTAACCCATTTTCACTCCCAGGAACACAGCATGGTCCAAGAGTGAGAGCCAACATATGACTGAGAGAGGACATTAGTGAGGTCTTAGAAAGCTAATCCTAATTGCACGTTGATTATTCAGAAGTCTCACACTATGCAGTTAATCCAGCAAAACAAATGAAAAATTTAGATACCACAAGTGACTACAAATTAAATCTCAAATTAAAAAGGAACACTCATATTCTATAAGTTTCAACTTACATGTTTTGTGAGTAGAAGTGTCCGACAAGGAACTTTACAAATCACACATTCGTCCTTTTTGCCTATAAAATAAAAACAGATTTTACGTTATACTAACTAGCTTTTAGAATGTAAAATGCAGTCTTTAAATTACATTTCTTCAAGAAAGATGCAAAAGAAAAAAAGAAATATGCAGGATTACAGTACCTAAATGTTTTCATGTTCAGACAGAGAATGACGCTGTGGGTGTGCATACAGTTCAATGATTTATACAAGTAACAACCTTGTTTTCCTGCTTTGCAAATATGCACCAAAATAAAGGCCATAAAGATCGACAATACTTAAGGTTAACTCTATCCCAGGGCTGGAGCTCAGTGGAAGAGTGCTTGCCAGGCATGAGGGAGCCCTCGGCTTGATCTCTAGCACTGGAAAAAAAATCTATCCCAGATACTCATTACAATTAGATCTTACAGTGATATCTTAATTTAAAAGTTTTAACTATATTTAAAATGAAAATAGCTGCTCTGACCCCATCCAAAGGATGAGTTTTTCTCTGCTCCTCTCAGGCTCACTTCTACACCACATAAAGTATCACATGTGAGAACACACCATTCCTCCATGACCTAGTACCTGGCTATATGAGTTCCTGCTATCTATGACCAGCCCTAGGCCCAAGCACAGAGGGTTACTATGTTGTTAGCATCCAACAATCCACCTGCCCAATCTCCAGGTCTTTGGCACAGATCCAGAGGGATTCCAGCCCTACATCACCACTTTTCTCTCCACAGATTTTAATCATCACCTGGAGACTTGGCTCCAGTGGCTGGCCTTCCTGTCATTCCCACTTGCTCTCCACATAGAGGTCCCAAGCTCCAAATCAGCACCTCTGCTTCCACTCTCGGCCTCCACAGCGTCCAGCATCAGGAAACACAGAACTCTGTCCTACACTCAGCTCCTTCCCTGAGGCTGCCACTTCCTCATGCCTATGAGCTCTGTTCTTCACTAGCCCGCTCCAAGAACAGAGTCTCCATATTCCTCATCTTTCCAGGGAGCACACCTACCCTAAGTGTGGGCAATCCCTGCTGCTCTCTTCTTCTGCTGTCCAGGGCAGACAAGAACTGGGGCAAACCCACTTGAGATGTGGAGTCACAAACCTGTGGATTCCAACACTGCGGGGTCTGCAGTACTGCTAGGACATCCTTCTCTGCTTTTGTTGAGTGTTCCCCCTACTCCTGTCCCTGTGGGGGAATGTTCAAGTGAAAAAACCCCATCATCCAACAGGAAAAAAGAAGCCTCCTGCTCACAATCCACCTCAACTCCCCACCCTCTCCTCCAGAGAACAACCTGACTCACTCTGCCTCCTTTCTATTTGGGAGGGCTGCTGGCTCAGAGTCACACTCACCTCAGATCCACAGCACCTGCTATGGTTTGGGGTTTTTGCAAGGGGAAAGCCCAAAGGCAGTGGTGGAAGCCAGAAAGTCTGTCAGCAGGATGAAGGATCTGTGCTAGCAGGCTGAGTGGTCTACACTGGAGCCAGGAAGCGATGCTCAAAATAAGAACCAGAGCTCCTCCATAGCCATCCTCAGCAACAACAAGATCCCAAGCTCCTGCGATGATCAGGCCAGCCAAGTTCCCATCAGGAAAGCCAAAGCAACAAGCTTCTCCAGGAGACTGAGCAGTGCACCATCTTCCCCTCTGGAGCCAGAAAGTGATGCTCAAAGTGAGGACCAGAGTTCCCACAAAGTGAATCGAAGCTATTCTCAGTGACAACAAGGTCCCAAGCTCCTTGGATGATGAGAACAACCGAGTTCATCAGGAAAGCCAGCATGAGAAGTTCCCCCAAGAGAATCAACAGCTCCTTACAGCTTCTAACGCACCCAACAGCTTCTCTCAGCTCCCAACAGCCTCCCTCCTTCTTCCATTCTGCCTCTTATGCTGCTACCATGCTGGTTAAGTTCAGCTGGGTGTTACAAGTTAACCTGGTATGGAAAGCATGGTGCCCCTTCCAATGGCCTCGAGAATGGCCTCCTCCCCTCTCCTCTTAAATACACTCAAGTCACCAGTTCCTCTCCCTCTGTCTCTCTTTCAGTACAGAGTCTGGAGAAAGGAAATTCCTTTTATGCACCATCACTGCCAGAAGCCCTACAGTGAAAGATTACAGAGCTGACTCATAAAAATCTAAGCATTCTGCTTAGTGAGAAGAATTGATTCTATAGAGGAAGTCATTTGCAGGTCACTGACAAAGTGGTTCATAGCTGATAAATAGTGCTTCTACGTCAATTAAAAACAAATATTCCAATAAAAGGCTGTGAGAAGACTCCAATAAGTAATCACCAAAAGTGCAAATAGCCAATAAATGTAAGAAAAGAAAAGCCAGTTCACTAATGAGGGGACAACAGGTGCTCCCAAATCAATGCTGGGAACATCAATGAGCACATTCTCTTGGGGGCAGTTTCATCTGCTTTAATGAACATACCCCCAATGTAGCAATCCTATCCCTAGGAATAAACTTTAAGGGGAAAAAGTCAGAAAGTGAACAATGGTGGTTGTCTTTTAGTAGGGAATCAAATAATCTACAGTAGATAACTAAAGTGTGTATTTCACAACCTTAAAAATGATGATACAGCCCCTGACCAGAGTCTTTGGTCAGGGTCACAGGGATGTTAAGACCACCTCCTAGACCTCTGCTGACCATGCTGTCCTGGGTGGTACTTTCTGCCATTGCCACTGCAGCACCCCGTCTAAAGAATGCAGCCCTCCTAAGACCAGGGGTATTGCAGACAACAAGGATCTTTCACGCAGGGCAGACAAAATTTGCTCCTCTACCACCTTTTCCTTAGTATAGTAGAAAAGTTCATCTTGGACTAATTCTTGAGAAATTCTTCCAGTTTCTTTATCCTAAACCAGTGTAACAGGACCCTACATGTTTGTAACTGGGCTTATTTTGTATTTTTTATCCAAAGAAATATATGTAATTACCCCCAGAGATCTTCTCTACCATATCTGTAGTACGGCCACTTATCTATCTATGTAATTAAAAAACATGGTGCCTCTTTTGGAGAATTTATTGATAAACTTGATGAGCAAAAAAACTGCCAACTAGAAGAGGCAAAACAAGCTTCCATGAAACAAGTCCAGAATGCCATTGAATTGGAGAAGTCCCAGCAGGCACTTGTTCAAAAGTGCCATTACCTTTTTGATGTCCAGAGGAATAATACTGGTATGGCCTTGGAGGTTACTTACTTACTGGGAACAGCTACATAGAGTATATATGGAAGTAAAGAATCCCCTGGACTATCATATTTCTGTGCAGAATATGATACATCAAAATGAACAAGAGCACATGATAAGCGGGGTGGAGAAGCAAGTGGTGCAGACCATCTTTGCACAACAGGAAAAGGAGATGACTGCAGATCTAAAGCTGCTTGCGAAGAAGGCTCAAAGACAGCCCATTATGTAAATGTATCTCTCCCAGTTCAGACAGCCAGAAATAGATGACTAAATGGAAACTAGTCTATGTAACAAAAACTTCCTACATTTCTGTCTACTGAAATTAGTTTACTTTTCCTAAAAAAGAAAAGCTTTAGGTTTCATTTAGGGAGAACTAAATCTATTGGCTAGTCAGATGTTTCTCAACCTTACTCTGCGTTTTGAGTTGTTCTGTGATCACTTTTTTTTTGTTTTGTTTTCTGGGGGTTTTTTTGGTGCTGGGAATTGAACTCAGGACCTTGTGCTTGCCAGGCAGGGGCTGTGCTGCTGAGCTATATCTGGCTGTGATCACTTCTGAATAAACACTTCTTTATTAAAACTTATTATCTGACTGAAGATTATCAAGTTACAGGTTAAATTTGTAATTAGTTCTATGATCTTGCAATAAAGGACAACTGAAACAAAAAAATGATAATTATAAAAACAGAGTCCTAAGTGGTATACCCATCTATTATTTTTGTGTTTGACCTTTGCATCTGTAGGGAAAAGTCTGGAAGGATATACATCAGCACTGAAGGAGGGTTTGCGAACAGCGGGCCCCAGACAGCTAGGTCAGGGCTCTGCCCCCGGCCTCCATCCCTTTTCTCAGTGTATTTCGGTGGCCCTGCACTGCGTATGCTTCCGACACAGCGACTGTGCCTTTTTGGAAAAATGACCTCAGGCTACCGGATCCTGTGTGGGCCTCAGGCCTCCACAGCCAGAGGCCTGGGAGAGCCCTGCGGCAGTCACAACCGGCGCGGCACCGCCGGCCTCCAACGGTCGCGCGCCCGCGCTCTCACACGCTCTGTAGTCCAGGCCCGTGTTCCGCGGAGCGCACCACTCCTTCACGCAACCTCTTCCCGCTAGCTTGGTTAACTTCTTCAAACCACTCTCGCCAAGGGGCCACCACCTTCCACCGCCGCTCCTCCACACCCGGGACTGGGCCCCGCCCCCACGGTCCCGCGCCTCGGCAGCCCCGACCTACCGGCCCGGCCTGGCGGCGGGCGCTAAGCCCACAAAGCGGCCTCCACCGGGCCCCCACCCCACATCCGCCCTGACCTTTGCGGAGGCAGGCGTCACAGTACACGTGCCCGCAGCTGGTCAGGCTGAAGGACGACTTCCTGTGCGGCGGCTGGAAGCAGCGGTTGCAGAACACCCAGCTGGCCATGCCGGGTGAGTCTGTGAAGCCACCGAGGCTCCAACACGCTGCGGCAGCTCTGCGCCTGCGCTCTGCGGACTTGGCGCCTGCGCACTGAGACAGCCCGCCAAAACGGGTGTGCGAGTCCAGTGGAGGTGTGAGGTGGGGCGCTCTGCGCTCTGCGCCTGCGTACAGTGGAGTTTAACTCCCTAAGCACAAGCAGAGATAACGAAACCACGGACCAAGGGCCCGCAGAAGGAGCCGTCGCCTAGCGTCTACCGCAGCGGTCCTCACGCGGCAGAATGGCTGTCCTGTCGGGCCCAGGTGGCGCCCAGTGGGCACTCACGTGGGCAGTAGGCCCGGGAGGGCAGGCCTCTAGCGCGGCGCGAGGAAGGTGGGTGGTGAGTGATGGACGGCATGGTGTGTGAGAATTGGGGTCCTGGCAGAGGTGGGGTACGAGGGGCCGAGGCCGGGGCGGGGGCGGGGCCCTGCAGCCCCCACGGTGCACGTGGGCAGGGCTTGGCCTCTGAGAGGCTGCTTCCTTTGCACAAATAACACGTCGGGGCGGGACTTGACATCTGCAACTTCCGGTGAGCTTATAATTATTTCAAAATTAAAAGTTAAAGGGCTGGGAATGACGCTCAGGGGTAGAGCGCTTGCCTGGCACACTCGTGGCCCTGGATTGGATACACCATCACGCACGTGCACACGCAGACACATACATACACACACAGTTGCTTTCTAAATACTGTTTATCCTCCTCGCAAGATGCCAGATCACCTGCATGCCACCAGACAGTCTGCAATTCTGGTGGAGTAGAGCCGCTTTCTTCCAGGGAGTTAGGAGAAGGCAGAGGTTTAGGTGATGCTACTAGTAACACACTCAGGAGTGCACTCAGGAGGTGGTGCACTCGCCCCTGCAGTGCTGTGGTTGTGACCTCCTAAGGCTGCTGCACCTTTGAAACGCAGCTCATGCAAAATGGTCTGCCCTGTGTGTAGAATACAGCCCAGGTCTCCAAGACTAAGGCAAAACAAGTGTTAAAATTATCTCATGAGGAACTTCATATTGAGTACATTTTAAAAAGACAGTATTTTGATATATTTAGTTAAATATATGCCACTAGGGTTAATTCTGTCTTTCTTTAAAATCCTTTTTAATGTGGTGATGAAAGCACTTAAAATTTCATGTGTAGCTACCATTTTATTTCTAATGCACAATGCTTCTTTATATCAGTTTTGAAATAAGATAATGTGCTTATTTTATCAAATTCAGAAACTACTTTGTTTTTGTTTTTTTTGAGACAGGGTGTCCTTGAACTCACTATGTGGTCAGGCTGGCCTTGAATTTACAGCAATCCTCCTGCCTCGACCTCCTGAGTGTTGGGATTACTGGTGCGCCCACCAGGCCTGGTCTAAAAACTACCTTGTTGATGTAACATTTTATCAATGTTGCAACTCTATAACATTAACTTCAACCTCTGATATCTTTGAAATCATGAAAATGATAGACATTTGTGCATGCATTTTGGTTTATTCAAACATTATGCAAATTATTTGTCTTTAATGGTGGTATTTTAAACAACTTTTTTAGCTATAAAGAAGTCTTTTAGGTATTTCATTTGGAAAATTCCAATTGAAATAAAGATTAACGTTTGTGCTAAAGCCCACCATAAGACATTACTATTTGTATCTTCACTGGTCATTCGAAAATTTTCTTCTCGGTCCTGTGCAGAAGAGAAATAGATAGGTTTAGTTGTTTGAAGTACTAGATATGCAGTGTTTTGTGTTATTAGAGATAAACCCAGAGCTTTGAGCTTTAACCAGTACTTTAAAGCTCAGTACTTTACCACTGAGCTACATCTCCCACCCTTTTAAAACTTTTTTTTAACATTGAAATAGGGCCTTGCTAAATTGCTGAGGCTGGCCTCATACTTGCCATCCTTCTCCTTCAACCTCCAGAGTAGCTGAGATTACAGATCTACACCATCAAGTCTGGTTTAATGTGTGATTTGGAGAGTAAAGTTGCTATAAATGTTCAAGATATTTAATATTACCCAATTAGTGTCTTTTGCCAAAGTGCAGTCCCAGCCAAAATCAGTGGTTTAGCCAAGTATGAAACAGTAAAAAGCAATCTGATAAAACATATTTATGTTTTGGTGTAAAATACCAGTAATTTGATCGGTTACTTTATACATTTTATTTGCAACTATCAGGCAAAGCAGCATTACCTACCCAACAGTGATAGATTTTCATCATTGGAGTCCTTTATGCTGGGCACTATGTCAAGAACTTCCTTCCCTTTTCTAATTATCATACTTGTGCTTACCTTATTTTCCAGATAAAGAAATTGAAGCTTAAAGGTGACACAAAATTAATGAGTGGTAGAGCAGATTTGAGCCCATGTCTGGCCAGTGTCCACTGAACACAGCGAGTCAAAAAAGACTTGAGGGCTGGAGATGTAGCTCTGGAGTACAGCACTTGCCTAACGTATCCAAGGCCCTGGGTTTAATCCCCAATACTACAAAACAACAGCAAAAACAAAAAAACCACTTGATATCACAAGAACGAAATTATGATCTAGAAAGTGGGCATACTTGTGCCTCAAATATATGGAGGGCGTTTGTTTGTTCATTCTGTAAGCCCACGCCCTTTGCTGCTGGCCACCTTGCTCAGTCTGGGGGGATAAAGAGGTGAATGAGCAGCAGTTCTCTTTCCTAGAGGAACCCTTGGTCCAGCAGGCAATGGAGAGAGATTGCTCCCTTCCCGCTCTCTCCATTTCCACTCAGTTCTAGCCTGGAAAGATCCAGGAAGAGGCAGTTTATCCTTGGTCTCGAGGCTTTGTGTTTAGAAATGTGTTCCTGGCAGGAAGAGATAAAATAAGCTGAATAGGCAGACTGACCCTTTGGTAGTTTTGTTCTTTAAGTATTTGCTCAATTTGTTCAATTAGATGTTCAAGCTTGAAGGTAACTTCATTAACTTTGTCCTTCGCCTGAGCAATTGCTGAGTCAAGGTCATGTTCTCCAACTCGAATATCTAAATGGATACGCTATACAAACAGCAGAAAGGAAAAAATGGCATATTTTAAAAACAGTTCCACACTTTTGCCTGGCTTCCCTACTCTCTATGTCCTTTCATTCCTCCCCTCTCCTTTTCCCCCTGCCCCCTTTTCATGAATGGGGCACCACTTCATCCTTCAGCTCCCTTTTCTCCCTGCATGGACTACTCTATTATCTCCTCTACTCTTTACTCTTTCTTGTAATAATAATGCAGTGAGTAACAACCTATTGACCTGAAAATATATGTATATCTTTCTGAACATCAAATTTACTACCAGGCAAATGCTTTGGTACTGAGAAAATTTGATTAATGCTCTCAGGGAACTTTTCTTTATATATAACTGAATTTCTTGCGCTAAAGTACAAATTCTCTTCATCTCTTCTCAAAACACTTAAAAAACAGCCAATCACCATCTATTGTGTAAGTGTTTTATTAGAATTCCATTATTAATTCACTCTTCAGCCTTCACTTGTTTTCAAGCCTGAATAATCACAGTTCTTTTAACCTTCCCTCACAGCTCTTATGTTTCAAACCCTTTAATCAACCTCGTGGCTCTCCTTTGAATGCCTTCCAAGCTCCCCAGCTCCCTCTTTGGTTGCTGCACTGAGAACTGGGCCCAGGACGTCAGTAAATTTCTAGGCAGTCTGTGTGTAATGGTTCTGCATACCAATGTCATGCTTGAATAGTGTGATGCTGTGTTCATCAGCAAGGACATGGGGGTGTATACTCACCAGTTGACTCCCACCAAATGATATAAGCCTTGTAGAATTAGATTCTAAGCAAATGATGTGTTCTCCAGGCAAATGTGAAGTAAAATAGAATGTTCCTTGTGGGCCAAATAACTTCGATAATAATACCTAGGATTGAGGATTTCCATAGTTTAAGTTCATTATTCTCTATATTCTTAGAAATCTTCCCTATATAAATCTATTAAAATTATGCAGTTCCCAAAGAAGAAGTTAAAAGGCTGATAAACATGAAAGCTATTCAGCATTTAAGCAGTACAAAAATTCAAACTAAAGTAAGACATCCCTTGTTTACTACCTGATTGGTAAAGATTTAAAAGTACTCGAGAATATCAGGGTATAGTGGCACATGTCTGTAATCCCAGCCACTGAGGAGGCTGAAGCAGGAGGATTGCAAGTTTGAGACCCTGTCTCAAAAAAATTTTAAAAGGGCTTGGGGTATAGCTCAATGGTAGAGCAATTTGTCTAGCATGTGTGAGAGTCTGGGTTCAATCCCCAGCTTCACACACACACACACACACACACACACACACACACATAGTAGTATGGAGAAATAAACTGGAGAAATAAACTCTCCAAGTACCATTGGATTGTAAATTGAACAGACATTATAGAAAGGAATTAGGCAGTATGTATTAAAAATTACAATGCAAGGCTGGGGATATAGCTCAGAAGCACAAATGCCTGCCAGGCAAGCACAAGGTCCTGAGTTTGATTCCCGGTACAAACAAAACAAAACAAAAACAAGTAAAAATTACAATGTATATCATCACAGAGCCAGCAGTTCTATCTATAGAAATTTATTCTGTGCAAAGTACTCAAAATATATTCACTGTGACATTTGTAATAGGAAAATGGTATTTTTGAAGTAACTTTAATATCTTCAAGTAAAGGGTTAAGTTTAAGGAAAGCCAACTGTTATGGTTTGGATTTGAAATTTCCCAAAAAACTCAGGTGCTAAAGACTTGATTGCCAGCTTTTTGGAAAGCGATTATGAGGACTGACTTCATCTAATAGATTAATCTATTCATGGATTTACAATTTGATGGCTTTATTAGGAGGTGATAAAGACTTAGGAGGTGGGGCCTTCAAAGGGAACCAGTCATGGAGGTATGACCTTACAGGCTGTGCTGTCCCTGGCCCCCTTCTCTCTGCCCCTACTCCCCCCGAACTTCCTGGACACCATGAGATGACAGGAAATGCCACTACACACTTTTGCTGTCATGTTTCTGCAACAGTTCTTAGATATGTTAGAGAAATGGGGTCACAAGGTAAAGCTCTGCCCCCCAAGTTTGACAAATACGTGGATGCAAAGAATCACACTGTAACAAAGCAAAGACCTCTCTGGGAATCAGAGAGGTCTTTTCCAGGTACATCAAATCTATATTTCAACAAAAAATTATAAGCCATACTAAAAGGCAGAAAACACAGTTTAAAGAGATAGAGCAGTTGTCAGAACCAGGTATAGGTGTGGCATGGATGTTGGAATTATCAGGTCAAGAATTTAGAAAAAAAATAGTATGCCAAAAGCTCTAATGGAAGATAGACCACATGCAACAAAAAATGGGAAATATAACCAGAGAAATGC